GCGCATCCCAGGCCCTCAGGGGCCCTGCAGGCACGTGCACGTGGCTTCCCTGGCCTCGACCCCGTCCCTCCCTCCCTGCAGAAGTTACCCATCGGGCCCTGGCCGGTTTTGCTCAGTGGATAGAGCGTGGGCTCTGTACCTCAGATTCAGGCTCCCGGCTCTGATGGGGGGGGGGGGGGAGCGAAATCCATGTGCCTCTCTCACATGATGTTTCTGTCTCTCCCTTCCACTCTCTCTCAAAGTCAATGGAAGAAAATCCTCAAGTCGTTACCCATGGGTCTGGGCCTCCACGTGGCTGCCACCCAGCACTCCGGGTGAGAAGGTGGGTCCCACCAGGGCAGGGGCGGGAGGCCTGCCTGCGGTCATGCCCATCATCGCCACGATCCATCCCCCCCCCCCCCTTCTGCCCCTGCCCTGCACCCTGGCCCCTCCTCTAGAACCCTCCCCACCCACAGGCTCCTCCCACACCCACAGGCTCCTGTGGGCCGCCTCACCCCTGCCTATGACTCCAGATGCCCTCCCCACGCTCACTCCTAAGATGGCGTGTCCATCTGGTCTCCAGCCGGCACCCAGCCTCTGCCACTCAGCAAGCCGTGCACATTGGGCTGCACCATCACCTCCCAGGGCCCAGGGCCAAGCCGGGGTGCAGGGCACAGAAGCCTTGCTCTCTGGGCAATGGACCCCCTTCTCCGCCAGCAGGGAGGCCTCCTGTCAGGCCCACCCTCTGCGTTCCCTCCCAGCAAGGACAGCAGCGTCTCTAACCCAGAGACGCTTGTCTGGGCCGAAGGGGCGGCTGCCTCATCCCCGGACCCCAGGCCTGGACCTGCAGGCGTCGCCACGGGAAAGGAAGGAGACCTTCTTCCAGTTCAAGGGCGACTGCTTCCCAGGACGGCTGCTGACAGAGCTCCACTTCACCAATAAGAGACCTGCCCGGCCGCTGTAACTCCGAGGTGAGAGCGTCGGCCTCGCACCAAAGGGTCACGGGTTCGATTCCCAGTCAGGGCGCGTGCGGGAGGCAACCAATGCATGCGTCTCCTCACACCGATGTTTCTCTCTCTCTCCTTCTTCTTCCCTCTCTCCCATTCTCTTTTTAAAAAAAATCAATGGGAAAAGTATTCTCGGGTGAAGATTAAGGAAAAATATGTACGCTGACCTCAAAAACGCGGACAAGTCACCTGACAAAGAGGCATCGACACTTCCGGTTGTAAGAAGCGGCCAGTGCTCTAGGGAAGAGGACGCACTGGTAACCCCAGAACAGACGTCCCTCCAAACCCGAGACGCCTCCTGGGCCACATAGGCAGAGACACGGCAGGTCGGGCCTCTACCCCCGTCCCTCCCTCCCTGCAGAAGTTACCCATCCGGTCGGGCGGTGCCATTGGGGAGCAAGCCAGTGCCCCTCAGCCCAGGCTCAGGCCCTCAGCTCCGCCTTAAGGGCCCTCTGGGCCGGAGGCTAAGGGCCCTCTGGGCCCCTCTGCGGTCGGCGGCCGGCCTTGGCTCTGCCTGTGGGTGGACCCAGGTGAGCGGGGCCATGGGAGGGCCGGGACTGCGCTCCTCTCAGCACCCAAACAAGCCACACTGATCTGTCTAAACCAGCGGTTCTGAACCTGTGGGTCTCGACCCCTTTGGGGGTCTAACGACCCTTTCACAGGGGTCGCCTAACACCATTGGAAAACACATATTTTCGATGGTCTTAGGAACCAAGACACCGCTCCTCTATCCGTCTCCAGGCGGGTCCGCCCACATGCAGATATGCCCACATACGAGTACCCGGCGTATTAAAGGGTCGCGGCATTAGGAAGGTTGAGAAAAACCAACAAAAGAGCCCACTTCTGAGAGGCCCAAGGGCATTTTTAGGGGCCAGCAACAGCGGGGGGAGGAGGGCCTTCATCAGCCATGCAGGATAGAGAGTCCTGTGGCCCGGCCAGCGTGGCTCAGTGCTTGGGCGTCAACCCATGAAGCAGGAGGTCGCTGGCTTGTGGGCTCAATCCCCAGTGTGGGGCATCAGGAGGCAGCCAATCGATGCTTCTATCTCTCTATCCTTCTCCCTTCCTCTCTCTAAAATCAATAAAGACATTTAAAAAATAATGTGGAATGTGATGACTAAACACCAGTAGGAACTTAAGGGCAGAAAGCCAGCACCACACAGGAATACACGGGCCGGGGAAGTGACGTCCAGAAGGTCCCCAAGGTCACGGACGCATTTGCCAAAACTGTGACTCGGACCCACCGGCGGGCCCGCCCGAAGGCCCTCTACTCTGCCCCGCACCTCGCTGCGCACTCACGCGCTGTGGGTGAAGCTCTTGGGCAGGGAGCGGCGGGTGTGGGGCGAGCCCTCAGGCACTGCGGGGAGAAGCCGCTTGGACACCCAGCGAACACTGAGACACGTAACTGTATGCGAACAGAATCCTCGCCCAACGCCGCCGCCACCACCACCACCGAGGGCACTGCCGGCCCCTCCCCACCCACACGCGTGGGGGCTCACTGTTCCCCAGTTCCCGTTTATCCTCTGGAATTTCTTTACGGAACATCGGGCACATGAACAGGATTCTTGGTTTTCCCCTTTAAAAAAAAAAAAATTATTGATTTCAGAGAGGAAGGGAGAGGGAGAGAGAGCGAAACATCAATGATGAGAGAGAATCATTGATCGGCTGACTCCTGCACGCCCCCCAATGGGGATCGAGCCCGCAACCCGGACAGGTGCCCTGACCTGGAATCGAACCCCGAACCGTGACCTCCTGATTCATAGGTCGACGCTCAACCACTGAGCCACGCCGGCCGGGCAATGGTTTCCCCCCTTTTAACACAAATGCAGCGCCTCACACACCCGCATGTGGAGGTCTCCGCCTGGGCATACAGCACAGCCCCCTCCTCCAGCGACGTCTGTCGCCTGAGCAGGCGCTTTCAGATCTGACAGACACGTTCACTGGCCCGTTTCCCACGCTGCGCCACCACCGCCCAGAAATCCAGGTGTGGGACCTCTGCCAGTCCGAGGGGTGGACACTGGTGTCCGGGCGGAGATAAAGCCGACATTGTGTGTACCCTCTGACCCAGAAATTCCATGTGTAACAACTGCCGTGGCCACGCACAGCAATCCAGCTACAAAACTGTTCACTGCGGCAGTTTCTAATCCCAGAGAATAAAACAAAATAGAAATGACCTTAATGTTCTATGACAGGGGATTTGCTTAAATAATGATAGGGTTACCATTTAGAGGAATATTACATTGTAAGTTAATGTTGTGGAAAGATGTCCAATTAGCAGTAAGTAAAAAGAAGTTATGTGTGTCCACAATATTTCATCATCAGCCCGATCGGTGTGGCTCAGTGGTTGAGCATCAACCTGTGAACCGGGAGGTCACGGTTTGAGTCCCAGTCAGAGCACATGCCCTGGTTGTAAGCTTGAACCCCAGTAAGGGGCGTGCAGGAGGCAATCAATCAATAATTCTCTCTCATCATTGATGTCTCCATCTCTCTCTCCCTCTCCCTTCGTCTCTGAAACCAATAAAAATATTTTTAAAAGGTTATCTTTGCCTTAAGCAGGCCCTGTTCTTAAATTTTTATCATATTTAATTACAAAATTACAAATAAATTAAATTATATGACAAAACACTGTGCATATTTTTTTAATCCTCACCTCAGGATATGTTTATTGATTTGAGAGAGAGAGGAAGGAAGAGGGAGAAAGAGAGATACATCAATGTGAGAAACATTGATCAGTTGCCTCCCATACGTGCCCCGATGGGGGATCAAACCCACAACCTAGCTTTGTGCCCCCACTGAGATCCAAACCCTCAACCTTTTGGTGCAAGGGATGATGCTCCAACCAACTGAGCCACCTGGACAGGGCACAATGTGCACATTTTTAAAAAACAACAAACAGCCGGGCCAGTGTGGCTCAGTGGTTGAGCGTCGACCTGTGAACCAGGAGGTCACAATTCCATTCCCGGTCAGGGCACATGCCTGGCATGCAGGCTCAATCCCCAGTGTGGGGCGTGCAGGAGGCAGCCAATCAATGATTCTCTTTCATCACTGATGTTTCTCTCTCCTTTTTCCTTCCTCTCTGAAATCAATTTGTTTCTAACTCTCTATCTCTCTCCCTTCCTCTCTGTAGAAAATCAATAAAATATATTAAAAAAAAAAAAAAGATGTGGAAGTTTTACAAAACATCAACCAAACCAGGGCAGGGTGGGTTGGGGAGGGCATGGAATGGTGGCCCCTGAAAGATAAGTTCACGTCTAAACCCCTGGTACCTGTGACTGTGATCTTATTTGGAACCTAGTGGCCTGGTGCACGGATTCGTGCACATTGAAAGGAAATTAATTAGAAGAAATATTTTAATATCGCTGTTTGCCCTTTCTCTATAATACAAGTGTCAACCAAATTCACGATCGGCAAAGACAGAAACACATGGTTCGATTGGTGCCAGCGAGAGCTTTTTATGTATCGCAAATGTGCGAGTCAACTTAGCCTTTTATATACATAGAATAAACTTGCTTAATTAGACCTGCTTTCTGATGCAGCTAAACTTTTTCCAGCCCAGTGAAGCACCCCAACTTCTCTTTCAGGTAATTGTCAGCAACACAGCATCTATAATAGAAGTGTCAACCAGATTCACGATCGGCAAAGACAGAAACACACGGTGCAATTGGCACCAGCGAGAGCTTTTTATGTATCGCACATGAGCGAGTCAACTTAGCCTTTTATATACATAGAATAAACTTGCTTAATTAGACCTGCTTTCTGATTTAGCTAAACTTTTTCCAGCCCAGTGAAGCACCCCAACTTCTCTTTCAGGTAATTGTCAGCAACACAGCAGTAAACATCAACACGAAGCAGATTATTATTGTAGATCACGCAGGGAGAACAAAGGGTGAAATATTGAACTGCAGCCGTGTTTGACCATATTCTGAGCAGTGAGAAAACCTGAAGGCATTTTCAGGGTCCACTATTTCTTACTTCTTTTCAGTCGGGTCAAGTTTCTAAACTTTCTAAATCTCTGTTTTCCGGCTAATGAAAAGAAAATAGGATTCCACCAAGTCTCCTGTCTACCTACTCCAGGACTTCTGTGAGGATCAAATGAGATGAGGCAACATATTCTGTCAATAATTTCAGCTTCAGAATGTCAACAAAAATGTGACGTCATTACCGGCACCCACAGCCACCATTTCCAGGCTGGGCTGGGCTGTGGGCCATATTTTGTGCCATGAGGTCTTGGCAGTGTTGGCTGTAATTTGGTGGGGTGTCGCTCCGGGATGGTGGCGGGGCCTGTGTCCCACTTGGGAGAAGCTGAGTGTTGGTTTGTGGGTGCCAGGTCCATGGTGCCAGTGCACGTCACGGCAGCTCCTGCATTGAATGTCTGCCCCCTGGTGGTCAGTGTGCGTCATAGTGACCGGTCAGACGGTCAGACATTTAGCATGTTAGCCTTTTATATATATAGATAGGAGCTTTGCAACTGTAATTACAGATCTCGGGCGATCGCCCTGGATTGGTCGGCGGGCTCTAAATCTCATGACGCGTGTCCTCATAAGACAGAGAAGAGGAGACACGCAGGGAAGCCATGTGAAGATGGGGGCGGAGATTGTAGGGATGTGGCCACACACCAAGGAATGCCAAGGGCCCCCAGGAGCTGGGAGAGGCCAGAAAGGTTCTAGAGCAGCGGTTCTCAACCTGTGGGTCGCGACCCCTTTGGCGTCGAACGACCCTTTCACAGGGGTCGCCTAAGACCATCCTGCATATCAGATATTTACATTACGATTCATAACAGTAGCAACATGACAGTTATGAAGTAGCAACGAAAATAATGTTATGGTTGGGTCACAACATGAGGAACTGTATTTAAAGGGCCAGAAGGTTGAGAACCACTGTTCTAGAGCCTTCCGAGAAAGCACAGCCCTGCCGACAGCTTGGTTTTGGACTTCTGGCCTCCCGAACCGTGAGAGAATCCGTTTCTGTTGTCTTAGCCCGTGTCACTCTGTTACGCAGCCCGGGAACACAGCTCAGGGGTGAGTCCTGTGGTGACAGTAACAGTGAGGCTCATTGTATCTCTGGATACTTAATCCCCTGCCTGCTTCATGAGCTTCCCATGTAGTCATTCATTTACTCAGAAAAAGAACAAAGATACGTTTCAAAAGGTCAGCATGCACACTCATGTGAAAACCAAGAAGAACAGAATAAAGATGATAGTGGCCTTGTGCTCAAGGACACCTGCTGGGGACACCACCCTCGGCTTCCCACCAGCTGCCCACCCCCCCGCACCCTGCGGTCCAGAACTTCCAGAACCCAGCTGTCCCCCCAGCCCACTGTCCTTCTAGGTCCCTCCTCTCCTGGTCCCTTTGCCCAAACTCCCTACATGAGAGGGAGGTGAAGGTGCGCAGGCCCTGCAGGCTAGCGTCCCAAGTCTTCCCAGGGGGCCTTCTTCGCCTCAGCTGAGAACACTCCTGGCTCCCCCTCTACCCAGCCCACCAGCACCCATGGCCCCACCAGCACCCATGGCCCCACCAGCACCCATGGCCCCACCAGTACCCATGGCCCACCAGCACCCATGGCCCACCAGGCACCCAGCCCTGCACCTCCCTGCCCCTGCAGGCCTGCCCCGGGCCCTGCCCTTGGCCCCAGGCTGTGGTGTGTCTAGGCACCTGGGCCGCCTGCACCGTCCCTCCCTGGCCTCCTTGCGTCCCTTCCCACAGCACTCAGATCCCGGCCCCGGCTCCCAGCTCCCTCGGGCTCCTCCATGGAAAAGACTGAAGGTGGACCCTACCTCCTACCACGCGCAATTATTAATTCAAAATGGATCAAATGCCTAAACACAGGAGCTAAAACTATAAAACTCTTGAAAGAAAACAGGCGTAAATCCTCACGACTTTGGAATAGGCAACAAAACCAAAAGCACTAGCAACCAAGAAAAAAAAAAGATAAAGTGGGCTCACCATAGTGAAATACTGCGAAGGACAATCAGGAAAGTGAAAACACAGCCAATCAGGAAAGTGAAAACACAGCCGACGGCATCAGATAACAGTTCTGCAAATCCACTATCTGATCAGGGGCTCGCATCAGGAATCCATAAAGGGCACTCACAACTCGATCATGAACAGATAAAACCCCAATTGAAAAATAGACAAAGGGTCCGGCAGGCATGACTCAGGGGTTAAGCATCGACCTATGAACCAGGAGGTCACGGTTGGATTCCCGGTCGGGGCGGGGCACATGCCCTGGTGACGGGTTCCAACCCCAGTGTGGGGCGTGCAGGAGGCAGCCGATGGACGATTCTCTCATCATGGATGTTTCTATCTCTCTCTCCCTCTCCATTCCTCTCTGAAATCAATAAAAATATATTTCCTCAAAATGGACAAAGGATCTGGACAAAGGCTTCTCCAAAGAAGACACAGGGCGGCCAGTGAGCACGAGAAGGCGCGTGGCCGGCCAGGCATCGGGCAGCGCAAACGAGAACCAGCACCCGGCCCACTTCACACCCACTCGACTGGAGTCCACAATCAACAAGGCAGATAGCGCTGAGTGCGGGTGAGCTCCCGGGGTGCGGGGGGCGCGGTGCTTGGGAACCGACCTGGCAGTTCTCATGCAGCTAAAGATAGGACGACCCCTGACCCAGCAATTCCACTCCTTGGTGTCTGCCCAGGAGAGATGAGGACCATAAAGATATATTGAAGCACAGAAACTCACGCACAAGGTCCACGGCAGCACTGCTCAGACCCGCCACAAGGTGGAAACAACCCAAATAGCCATCAAGTGTCATCTATTAAGTATATGATGGCATCACATCAAAAAAACCCAAAAAAACGACAGCCCTGGCCGGTGTGGCCAAGTGGTTAGAACGTCGGCCTGCGGACCGAAGGGTCCTGGGTTCAGTTCTGGTCAAGGGCACGTACCTCGGTTGCAGGCTCCTCCCCGGCCCAGGCACTGGTCAGGGTCGTGCAGGAGCCAACCAGGCGATGTGTTTCTCTCACATCAATATCTCTGTCTTTCCCTCTCTCTTCCACTCTCTCTAAAATTCAACGGAGCCCTGACTGGTTTGGCTCAGTGGATAGAGCGTCAGCCTGCGGACTAAAGGGTCCCAGGTTCGATTCCGGTCAAGGGCATGTACCTTGGTTGCCGGCACATCCCCAGTAGGGGGTGTGCAGGAGGCAGCTGATCAATGTTTCTCTCTCCCTTCCTCTCTGTAAAAAATCAATAAAATATATTTTAAAAATAAATAAATAAAAATCAATGGAAAAATATCCTCGGGTGAGGATTAACCAACAAGCAAACAAAACAAAAAGAACTACATACCTCAGTTTCTTTATTGCTGAGTAATGCTAACCAACACCTGATTTGCGGGGAAAATGGTGCCGACAGAGGTGCTCGGTGCTGGGTGGCTACAGCCTTCAATTAGTAAAAAAAAAATGCACTACCCGAGACGCACAGTGAAGGAGGGACACGGTACCTGAAATGTCCCATCCAGACCAGCACGTGGGGACTGGAGCAGATCAGGGTTTGCCCAGCATCAGGTGATGTCAACAGTCTATTAATATGCTAAAAACCACCGGACTCATATCCTCCCTCCCTCCCTCTCTCTCTCTCTCTCTCACACACACACACACACACACACACACACACACACTGTGGTCCCCGCAGCCAGTGGGCCTGGGGGCCGGAGTTGTGACGCTGTGACTTGAACCCTTTTTCTTGACAGACTCCCAAAGCGCTTGCTGTTCTGCGGCTTCTGAGCACCGTTCACTTCTGACAATAAACACGAACCAAAAGCCCTCTCCCAAGAGCAACAGTTACCTGCCAGCCTCTGCTCCTGCCAACTGAGCTCTGGCCCCCAAAGATGACGGCATGGCATCACCCCCCCCCCCCCCCCCCCCCCCCCCCACACGCTGGCTGCGGGCTTAGGGCTGGTGCCAGGGACACAGATAACGGAGCTCAGAGTCCAGAACAGGACAGGGCGAGACATACAAGGAGGGTGCCTGGCACAATGGCCTGGGGCCTGCCAGGGAGGTGGGGGAGCCCCTTCAGCTAAGCTTTACTTATTTCTTTATTTAATATCTTTATTGACTTCAGAGAGGAAGGGAGGAGAGAAAGAAACATCAATGATGAGAGACAATCATGATGGGCTGCCTCCTGCACGCCCCATGCTGGGGATCAAGCCATCAACCTGGGCCTGTGCCCTGACCAGGAATCCACTGTGACCTCCCGGTTCATAGGTCGATGCTAACCACTGAGCTCGCCGGCCGGGGCACCTTCAGCTGAGCTCTAAAGAAAGTCACACTTGCCCTGCAGACAGGCTGACACTAGCGACCTCCTCCTGACCTCAATCCAGCCTCACCTTCTGCGGGCCGCCTCCAATCTCATCCACACTGAACTGTCACCCTGCTCCCAGCCCTGAGGGGACAACTTTGAAGTCTCTCCCTGGCTGCCCAGACCCTCCAGGCCGACCCCGACCCCACCCTCCACTGCACCCCACGCCCTGACCCTAGGAGAGGCCCCTGGCCCTGTGCACACAGCACCCCTTGAAGGGGAGGCTCCTTCTGCAGACACCCCTCCCACACTCACCTGCTCACCTCAAACCCTCCCCTGCCCTGCACACCTGCCCCCCCCCCCCCCCCCCC